AAAATAGGGAACAATACAACAAAATATTTTGAACTGCCTGAACGAACAAGATGAAATATTTGCCAGTCGTGTCTCTCCTGCTCTGGATGAGAAAGTTCTCAGTAGTTAACCAAAGCCCTGTTTCAGCAATTACTCCTGCATGCAGGAGGGGAATAACTTTTCATTTATATTACAGTTCTCTGAGTTGTATGTACCATGCTTGTGTAAAATAGGGAACAATACAACAAAATATTTTGAACTGCCTGAACGAACAAGATGAAATATTTGCCAGTCGTGTCTCTCCTGCTCTGGATGAGAAAGTTCTCAGTAGTTAACCAAAGCCCTGTTTCAGCAATTACTCCTGCATGCAGGAGGGGAATAACTTTTCATTTACATTACAGCTCTCTGAGTTGTAAGAACCATGCTTGTGCATGCAGTCAAAGAAGTACACTGACAGGCTTCTCTACCTGGATCTGATTTCGATGCAAAGGTCCTGGGCTGACTTGAACTGATGAGACTTTGAGGTCTCTGGGTCATGAGCATATTTTTGTATATGTAAATTATTAAAAGACAGAGCATGGTAGATTGTGAAAGAATGTTACCTTGAAAGTTTTCATTAAAGCTCATAACCTAGTATTCATACATTTGTAGTCCCCTCACACATGAACTCTAAGCTTAACCACGACATATCAACCAACATAATGCAAGCAGATGCTTGATAAACACTCGCATATTGGATCATGCCTTGGTGAAATGTTCAGTTTTGAATCTGGCCATTCTGGAAAAAACTCCCACATAGCCTTGAGAAATTCCAACCTCTAAGACTTCCCCATCAAGGCAACAAAAATCAAAAAGAAAAGATTTGGGAACTTTTTCAACCCAAGTCAACACATTATGAACCCAACTAGTTCCAGTGACAGAATCACAAAAAAAATAATATGGCCGTTTTAAGTGACTATTTTAAGGAATGTATTCACTTATTATGCAGAAGAAAGTAACAAAACAATAACCATACCATCTACAAAAAGTAATTTCTAGCTCAGGACAACTCATCATCTCTCTCTTGTTTCTATGAACTAGTCTCTTGGTTGCTTTAGCCCTTGAGTTATAGTTTACTGTTTCTTCGAAGCTGCCATTTCTGAAATGTAAACCTGAACCCATTTTATAATTTATTATAAGGTAAATGATGGTAAAAAAAGGACATGCCTGTGCATCAATATACTTAAGGTTTTTGCAGTTGTTCAGCCCATGCAAGGAACGTAATCCACAGCGTTGGAGAGACAGAAGCTGAAGATTTGGGCACTCTGCCAATGTAGACAGACAGCAGCTGGTCAAATCCTGCAATGTAATAGTTGTAACCTAGAAAGTTCAAGAAAATTGTGGTGAGTAACATTGTTGAACAACACAGTATGACTTATATTAGCCTTGCAAAACTGTCATTCACCTAATAGTACAAGCGTTCATGGACAATTCAAATTCAAAGATAAAATATACAAAAAAATATGTCAATCATTGACTAGCTCATTCCTTACATTTTAGTAAATTCTTCTTTTTGTTGTTTTTCTTACCTTTGGCATTACTTTCTATTTTATACTGCATAGAAGTTCATGATTTGTGTTTGACAGTTACTGTGAGATGACTGGCTCCATGAATGGGAGGAACAAGCACTGATGGACATATGAAGAAGCCACTTAGTCTACTCCTTGATTTAAGCAGCAGAAGTAATAACATGTGTTTTTAAACTTTGGGTATGTAAAGTTTTCACTTTCATAATTATCTAAGAGTGTGTCAAGTAGTCATAATCTAAAACAATTTTTGAAACAAATTATCTTTCTTTAATTCCAGAAAGAAAATGTGTATCCACTTATGTGGCAGTGACAAATATACTGCTTATTGGATCCAAAGTCAAACAAATAAACTCTCTAATTATGAAGCTGACTCTGTACTAGAAAATAAAAACATTATTTTGAATTGAGAACTTAATGACTCAAAATCTGACAAGTTTGGCATTATAACACATTATTCAGTCTGATTTGATAAATTGTTGCTTTAAGGCAACTACATAAGTGTGATTGAATTCCAGTAATTTATGATGTGGCAATTTCTTTAATTTCTGCAATTCTATTTCATTATAATTTGAGAAGAAAGGTTGTGTCAATAACCTTGTAATAGGTATCTATTTTTAACTATGGAGTTTCATAGCATCTCTTCCAATTTATTGAACATTTGAAAAGTCCTATGATATAGCAATGTATTCTTCTGTACCCCACCTGAAACTTTATCAAACATATATCAAAATAAATTTTCATATTCATTGTGGGAAATATATGATAATAATCATATGCATAAAACTGCCTTGAGTCCCTCAAAATTAAATCAATACACAACTAATAGTCACATGAGTCTATCAGTATTTGGTCAGCTTGCAAAACAACAGTTGGAGCATCATGGATGTTGACTAAATGTATCTTATATTAAAAATAAATAAAATTTTCCTAACCTGTTGAAAAATTCAAGTATATTTATAGCACTCATAGCTTACTTTCCTATCAAGGACAGGGGAAGTGAGGGGGTTGGGGGGCTTCACCATCTTGGGCCATGGCCAGTAGGCTACAATGTAGGAAGAAAGTCCAAGTGTACCCACAGCTTTGTAAGTAACCCCACCACGATCCAATGGACTGTTAGTAAGCCCAATAAATTCTTTTGTTCTCTAAAGTGTAGTTTGGAGGAATATTATCTCAGTTTGTTGAAAGAATGGTGGGAGGGGGGAACCTGAAGCTGCATGCACCTCCCAGAAAAAAATTTAACTATAGCTGGTCAAAACTGAAATTTTTAAAATAAAAATTTATTATATTCATGTCTAAAATAGAATTTCACTTTCAAGCCTAAGTTAAATAAAAATTATGATTTTTTGCAGCATTGTATATTTTAAAAGATCCAATTTCCAGGTCTTTTAAAAATTTTATTTTTTATTAAGTTTTCTTTCTTATTTTTTATATTTGTTGCATTGTTAGGAATTGTACCCAGAGCCTCACACATTGTAAAAAAAATAAAATATACACTAAGCCTTAATTCCGGTTATTGGAATTCATTCTGGTGCAGGGACTTGAGAGATGCTCAGTGGTTAGGAGCTTATTCTACTGTTGCAGAGAATCTGAGTTTGGTTCCCAGCACCTGTACAAGGTGAAAAGGAAAAGAAACATGTGCGCACATTTAGTGCTGCTCTTTATGTGCCTGACACCCCTGTCTTATGGCTGATTCTTGTACTTTACTATGCTTTAGGACAACTAGAAGTCACGCTAATGTCTGTAATGGCTTCTGAATAAACACTTAAGTAAATACTTAACTATAGTAAAATGGAAGACACAAAAGAGACATAAGAAAATACCACAGCTAGTAGTAAAATGTCTGTTAAACATTCACTGTATTGGAGCAGTCACTTACATAGATAGCTAAAGATGTCTTAATTCTTGTCTGCAATATCTGTTTCTGTAAGCACACTGACCATTTACAGAATTTCCTGTAATGGCTTATATACACATAGACATTTGGGTTGAAAGTCAGTGTAGGCTAGAGTCTAAACAGACCAATACTGTACCCATTAAAAAAATGGCATAAAAAAGCTCTCTAAAAGCCTTTCTGTAACCCAGGCCCAGAACCTCAGAGCCTGGGTCCACTAGCATAATAAAAGAGAATTCTCCAACTTTCTGGGTGAGTGTTTGATTTCTGCAGCCTGATTTCCTATAACAAGGGTGGTTCACAACCACTTGTTAGTCTAGCTCCAGGGAAATGAGCACCCTCTTCTGACCTCCATCGACAGGTACTGAATGAACTCAAATGCACAAACACATAGACATAATTAAAATATGAAGATTAAAATAAAGTCCTGTCTTCCTCAGTACCACTTCTTTCTCTTTTCTCTTTAAATAAACATTTCCAGCATTTCTAATTAGTCTTGTTCTCTTTTTCCTTCAAGGTTTTGCTAGAACTAGCACTTCTCTTCTCAAAGTGGTTTTTTTGTTTTGTTTTGTTTGTTTTTTGGGTTTTTTTTTTATTTTTATTTTTTTAACTAACTGTCCTCAGACTCTCTAGGAAAATGATGGCTCCATTATTGCTGTATCAATAGTACAGCTCTCTTGGCATTTATGACTCTTGCTGTTATTATCTGTTAACATTCCAACATCCTCTACTGATGAAACTTGTATGCCAGATCCCACCCATAGAGTCTGAACATAGTGGAAGCTCAATGTTCCACAAAGGTATGTGTGAATTGTCCATACTTTTTCAATAAATGCTTAACATTTGCTGATATTGTGGTCTCCATAGCAGAGGAAATAAGTAACATTTAATGAAAATGATTTCATACTTCAGGCATGTCTGTGCCACAATTAGGCAGCACATGGCTAAGTGACATTTCCATACAGGAAGTTCAAGTCCTCCTTTTTCACAGCAGAGGTCACATTCAGGGGATTTCACTCTATCTGAATGGAACCAGATTGAAGCCCCAATTTGAAGTAGACTACTATCTGAATTTGAGTGTCCTGCCCAAAGTCCAACCTTAAATTTCCAGATGCTTTCACACCTAGGCTTAACCATTACAGGGTCTTTGAATCACATGTCAAGATACTGAAAAATATAGGTCAATGGTCTTTGTTTTGCTAAGGAAGGCAATATTCTGAAAGCATGCAGTTGAGGTTTTACAAGTATAATCCCTCTGAATTAGAACAGTATTCCATCAGTGACTTCATCTACTAAGAGGCAAGGTTCTTAAATATAAAATATTACATTAAAAGATGAAAATCATAGTACAGAGAATTAATTCTATATGAAAACCAGTATTGTCAAATTATAAATACCTGCTGTAAAGTATCCCAAGGGCCATGCCGAAGAATTTCCGAGGAATCCAAAGGAGGCATCTTACTGGCTAGGCACTTCACAAATCTCTTTCTTTTAATGACATTCTTGTGTTGATTTTGCTTGAAGATTTCAAACCAAGGTTTAAATGATTTTATCCAAGCTTGTCTCCTTTCTTTAATGGAAGATAAAAATGTTACCTGTGGGACTGGGCAGGGCATGACACTGTCACATTCAGCCCTGGATTCTTGCCACTGTTCCAGAATTTCTTTCATCTCAGATTTAAGAGAGCTTTCCTTTTCAGAAATCAAGAGGTGTTTTGCATTGTAATTATCCACATCACCACTGGGAGCAAGATTACCTAAGACATAATCCTGCTGATTTGTTTTGCCTTCTGTGTGCCCCAAGGTGCCCGTGTCAACAATCACAGTATCACAAGGCAGAGCGTAGTCTTTGGGGACTTCCTCCATTCCTTCTGACTTCCTGTCAATCACTTTGTCTTCTAGTATTACATTTTCCTCTACAGCTTCAGGATTTTTTAAGGATGGTGATAGTATTTCCTTCGCTGGAATAACTGAAGTATTATTTTCTTCAAGTATCTCTTTGTTTTCTACTTTTCCCATCAACCCCTCTTGGTCATCTTTAATGGTTTTCTGTGCGTCCCTGTTGTTCACCTCACTCCTTCGATCATGCCCGGATATCACGTGGGTTTCCTGTCCCACAGTCTCCCTTGTGGTGTGTGCCATACTTTCCTCTTTTTGAGTCTGAGGCTTTAATTCTTGCCCCTGGCACTGTACATTCTCATTTTCTTTTAGGTCTGAGTTTTCCAATTCGGTTTTTTTGTCAATATCTTCATACTTTAGCTCTGGTTTAACCAACTTTTCAAAACATTGGGTTTTTGATAAGTCTTCACTTTTTTCCTTCATTTTTGAGTCTACAAAAATGGCTTGATTTGGTTTTAATTTTACTTCTGTTGATTCTTTCAGTGCAGGCTGTCTATACACATTTTCTCTCTTGTTTGCTTGCGGAACTAGCCAGCCATCTCGCTTCTGTGAGTGCGGGCTCACTAGCTCTTTGGCTACACTCTTACTCTTGGACGCGTCTGTGACAGTTAAGGGTTTCCCACGGTATTCCTCCCACCCTAACGCACAGTTCATGGTCAGCTGTCGGCTGTCTTCTAATCTTGCTTTCTCCTTGTTTCGTAGATCCTCTCTTCGTTGCCGCAGAGTGTTCTTTTGCTCTTCATATTCAGTTTCTCTCCGTTTCTTTTCCTCCTGCATCTGCTTTTTTATCTCTTCTATCCTTTGTTCCTCCTCAAATTTTCTTCGTCTTTCTTCCTCCTTCTGTCTGATTTTTAGGTCGATTTCCTCCCACTCCTGTGCTTTCCTTTTCTTCCTTTCTATTTGTTCTTTTATGATTGGGGCATATTTTCGGTAAGTTACAAATGCTTTATATTTAGCTTGAATTTTTACAACTGCATTATGCCGTAATTCTAATGAACGTGCCTTTTCTTTTTCTCGTAACTCATTAAACCTTGTTTGTTCTTCATCTATTTGTAAATGCAAGTTTCTAATAAACTCCTAAAATCAAGTGAAATAAATACTAGTGAGCATAAACTAAATGTCATGTTAATGGATTACAAGCAAATACTAAACCAGTATCGATAGTGAAATTACTATAAAATACACTGAGATGAAATTACTTATTTTAAATGTATTAATTTTTAAAATTGGTAGAGACTGGAATCACATTAGGCATTTCATAATATTCTAATTTGCAAGAGATAAAAATTAAAAATTATCTGTAGATATGAAGCATTTGAAATCAGAATGATGAAGGAAAAGGCAAGGATAAACAGGCTAAAATTCATGTAAGAGAAAAGGATTCTAACCTTCCTGTGCTGGATGATGTGATTAAGAAGTCACTGTAGCAAGCAGAGTAGCGACAATGCACTCTTCTGTTCTGTGCAAGCACTAAGCATGCAAGAGGTACACTTACATACTTGCAAGCAAACACTCATACATATAAAAGAAAGATAAAACTTAAAAAAGAAAACGCACATAAAGAAATAAAATAATTCAGCAAATATTTAAGGAAAATGAACACAAAGGGCAGTGCAATCAATAAGCACAAAGAATTGATAATATAAACTGGATAAATGAATATAACTTTTCAGAACAAGTTACACCAGAATAAAATAATATTTAAATAATATGTGTTTAAATAAAATATGACATGTTCAAACAAAAAGAATGCTGCACAACTGATAACCTAAAGAAAAATTTTTAAAAAGTGTTATTAACAAAGATATGAAAATATATGATAATCAGAAAAAAAGCAAGCAATATGGAAAGTCTAACATATAAATAGTAGGAGTTCTAGAACAAAGATCTATGAAAAACTGAAGGGTAGAAAAAAATACAAAATATGTTTCTAATCAACAAAAGCCATAGGATAAAGAGCTGAATTAACTTGATATCATTTACAGTCTCTCTCTCCCAACAGGACATGTTTAGATCGGTATCAGCAATATTACAGAATTTAAAGCACAGAAATCGTCATGAGAGCAGAAATCTTTCCTGTTTGTTTGTTTGTTTGCTTCCACTTATTAGCATTAGGAAAAAGTTTATCACATAATAAAAAATGACTATATATATGCAGATCAGTGTATAAATTGTAAGGGGACTTCCCTGACATCAGACCATGTCTATAGCTCCCTTCAGAGATGGAGCCGCTCCTGTAGAATAAGGAGAGAGAGAGAGGGAGAGAGAGAGAGAGAGAGAGAGAGAGAGAGAGAGAAAGAGAGAGCTGATGAGGAGAGGATTGGGCAATTCTCCATCAGCCCATCAATAAGACAGTGCTTACTTTCTTTTCTACCTGTGCCTGGCCTGACTATCCCTTAGAGGATGGAGAAAAATGACCCCCAGAGGGGACCATAAATTACAACTATACTCCAACTATATCTGTTTTGTAACAGGGAAGGAAATTGGGCTGAGTTCACTTATATTCAAATCTATATTTTTTATTTTAGCTTTATTTTTTTACCACCATGATCACCCAGAATTACCAAAAAAAAGTAAAATAAAACGAGAAATATAGTCTATATTCACAGACTCTGGCAGTAGTATACTCTACCTAAGAGGAAAATTCCACTGGACAAAATGAAAAACCAGCTGAGAGTTCTTTGGAGGCTCCGTCAAAACTAAACAGGGTGTTAAGTACCCTGATGACCCCTCCACCTGCATGAATGTTTCCACTCTGAATCCCTAGGGCTGGAACCCAGCCACGATTCCTTTCCTTTGGCTTGAACATGAAGAAATTAAAAAGAACCTGGAAAATTATGCTGAAAATTCTGACATATAGATACAATCCTTCCATTGATTAAATTAATTAGATGAACTGTATTAAATTTTAGATCAGGCCATCTGGGCTGGAAATGATAAGAGAAGGAAAGGAAGAAAAATTGACATCATGGAGGGGATTGATAGCTGCCATGAGGGTCAATCTGACAGTAGACCTCCCTCAAGGAAATCAGTCAGGCCCAAAAGGGTTCTTCCTCTGTGGACCTGAAGGGAATGCCCACAGAAGGTAAACACCCAATGATATCATGCCCCAACTGTAAAGGGAATCACTGGAGGAGTTGTTGCCCTGGGAACCCATGAGGGCCCAGGTCCTTTCTCTCTGACATCATGATGGTTTCTGGGACTATCCACATCATCTCCCATTACATCTATCCACATAGAGGAGCCCTAGACAGTTCTGACTGTGGAGGATCAACAAATTGATTTCTTCATGGACATGGGAATGCAATTCTTGGCCCTGTCCTTCTCCCCTGGCACCCATATTTAAATTCCACTACCATTCTGAGCATATTGAACAAGTCCATAGAAAGTTATTTTATCTGATCACTTGCTTGTTCATGGGGACATCTGCATTTCTGTCACTGCTTTCTAATATTACTTGACTCTCCTGCCCTTTTATGGGGAGGGATTTGCTGTCTTAACTCAGAGTACAGCAATTGCTCCCTTCAGGACACAACTGCTACTTGCCCTTAGTAAAAGCCAATATCGTCCCTCAGTATGGACTGATGGGGCCACTATTGAAAAAGATAGAAAAGCCACCCCTGTAGTTATTCATCTTAAAGACCTTCCGACTTTCCTCATCAAATGCAACAGCCCCTCAAACCCCAGACTAGGAAAGGATTAATCCCCATCATCATTAACCAAAAACACCAAAGATCATTAATTGAATGTTCTAGCCCCCTATAATGCTTTGATATTGAGAGTCAAAAAGGGCCTCAAAAAGTCGGGCTTAGTAGAGTCTCTGACTGACCAATTAAGCAGTGGTCCTTCTCCACCCATTGATCCCTGACCCTTACACCTTTCTGATTCAGATTCCCCTTGATAAGACCTACTATTCAGTGCTTGATCTCAAGGATGCCTTTTTCTGCATTCCACTTCACCCAGCTAGACAACCTCTATTTACATTTACATTTGAGAACCCTATTCGAAAAGCAGGCCAAGTTATATAGACAGTCTTATCCCAGGTCTTCTGAGGTGGTCCCCATTTATTTTGTCTGCCCCTGGCTCAAAACATAAGGGATTGGACCTATCCAGGAACCTCTCTAAACCAATATGTAGATGATTTCCTCTGTGTGGTTCAACTGAGAAAATTTTCTCCCAAGGGACAGAATCCCTCCTAAATTTTCTGTATGACAGAGGCTATAAGATCTCACAAGAGAAAGCTCACTTGTGTCAGACAAAGGTCTCCTATTTAGGTCTGGTCTTACCTTAAGGAACTAAGGCTTTGGGACCAAAATAGATCCAATCTTAGTGTTTCCTCTCCCCAGTACCCTCAAACAACTAAGAACCTTTGGGGGGGGGAGTTACTGAATACTGTAGAGTCTGGATTCCTGGGAATCCTTTTTATCAGCCCATTTATCAGGCACCTAAGGAGGCACAGACAAGAGGACTTAACCAGACTGAATGGCCCCCAGAATCACAAAGGGCATTTCAAGAGCTCAAAGTGATTCTAACCCAGGCCCCTGCATTAGGCCTGCCTACTCAACAGAGAATTCAACTGTATGCTACTGAAAAACAGGATACAGCCCATGGAATTAATACTCAGCTCAAACGGTCTTCTCCTCAGCCAGTAGGATATTTAGGCAAAGAATTAGACAAAGTAGCCAAGGGATGGCCTAGTTAGACAACTGGACAAGCAATGATATCTGTAGGGCTTCTGACCCCAAAGGCTAAGAAATATACTGTAGGGTATCCCTTGACAGTCTAAATGTCCCATGACATCCAGGCATTCTTAAATCAAAAGGTAGCCTATGGCTAATATACAGTCGTTGATTAAATACCAGGCTCTTATGCTTAAAGGATCAGGAATTATTCTTAAAATCTACCAAAATCTCTGAAGCTTGGGGGGGGGGCTCCTTCATTTTTGTGAAGAGATCTTCACTGACCACTATGAAGCCCATCTCTATCTAGATGACCAGCCCTTGGAGAACCTAGACTTAATATGTCATGAAAGATATGCTGTGGTCTCAGTGTCTGGAGTATCTGAATTAGTGTCTATTCCCAAGAATTCCAGTGCTCAATTAATGCAATTAACAGTTCTTACCAGAGCAATAGAATTATCAAACATATAAAGGTAAACATATATTTTCTAAATATGCCTTTCTCACCTTGCATGCTCATGCTGCCATTAGAAGGGAATGGTATCTATTGACCCCAGCAGGGATCCCTATAAAACACTTTTCAAAAGAGCCTCAAACTCATGGATGTTATCTTACTACACTCACAAGTAGCAGTAATTCACTGTCCTGGCCATCAGAAGGGAGATAACCAGGTAGCTAGAGGCAATAGGGTAGCAGATTCAGAGGCCAAATGGGCTACATTCGGACACCTAGAATGCCATGTCTTCTGGGAAAAGTCTCTACTGCCCCATGGAAGACCTGAATATTCCCCAGAAGAATCACATTTGGTCAAAAAGGAATACTTTCAGTTAGATACTAAGGAATGTTGGCTAGTTCCTGAAGGTCAGATTTAGCTCCCTTAAAGCATACAATGAAAGGTAATTAAAACTTTACAACATTTAGGACAGGATATATATATATATATATCTGGTAGTCAAAAGGCTATTAAAAGGACATGGCCTCAGGGATATAATACAACAGATAATAGAGGGATGCAAGATATATTAAAGAAACAAACCTAGAAGACACTTACAGTGGCCTGGAATAGAGAGATAGGGAACATATCCAGGTGAGGAATGGCAACTAGACTTTACCCACATGCATAGAGGCCCCTACTCTAAATGCCTTTTGGTCCTACTGGACACCTTCACTGGTTGGATAAAGATATTCTCAAACAAAAGAGAAAAGTCTTCTGAAATAGTCACAGTATTGCTCTCAGAGATAATTCTTCCCTTTAGACTAGTCCAGCATCTCTAGAGTGATAATGGTCCAGCCTTCATGGCTGAAGTCATATAAGGTTTACCAAAGACTCTGGGAATACAATACTCCTACATTGTGCATGGGGGTCATAGTCCTCAGGAAAAGTAGAAATGGCCAATG